CATGTCAGCATAGAGTGCTTGCAACTTTGCCTCATAATAGTGCTGTTATATACCTCTGGAGCCTCAAAACTGACAAAATGTAGTAAAAGGTTATCAGACAAGTCCAAATATAGCTGAATACATAATAAAAGTGTTAGTTAAATAAGTGTAGTGAAAACTGAAAAAAAGCATAAAGCTATGTTTCCTTTAACTTCCAACCAGTTGGTACTTATTTATTTTACTCTTCTATTACTACCTATTTTGATTTTATTTCTTTATTTTTGTATTTATTTCCTGATGCAGCATTTCTTTTTCCTAACCACATTAAATTATGCGTTATACGTTTATCATTATGCATATACAATGAGATGGACGTATCCATACATGTCCAGAGAAGTGATTGTTCAATATTTATGTGTTTCTCTTCTTGAAGTTACATTTCCACTATGAAGTTCACTTTTAGAGATACATATTTTTCACCAGATAGGGATAAATGACACAGATAGCGTGGTGCTCTCACAGGATAAGCTCCAGTAATCAACATTTAAACAAGGCTTCAATGAAAGTATTTTCTCTTCTATTCCCTTCCCTCTCTCTCTCTCTCTCTCTCTCTCTGAATCTGAATCTTGGTCTTGCTCTTCAGCTGTCTGTTTCTTTGATGTTCGTGCCAGCTAGGATGCGAGTGGGTGCAATGATTCTCACTGGTAAGATATAGACCCAAAATTCACAATATTCACAAACACACACACAAACAAACGCAAACACACATTCACAACAGACGGAGCTGAACAGAGTCCAAAACATAAGATGTATTCCCTGAAAAACGAAGCTGAATTTCCAGCATGACTACTGACAGCCAGTCTAGCTGAAGTGCGTAAGAAGGGAAACATTAAAAAAGAGGGGGAAAACAAATGATTCTGTGTGGCCTTTGTGTGTCTTCAGTGGGTAGTCAGAAAGCCCAGGCTTTTTTTCCTGAGGAAGCAAAGTCTGCAGGAACAACTGTGTGTATGTGTCTGTGGGGGAGTGAGCGGTAGGTTTCAATAGCGGCAGCTTGATAACGCTCTCCACTCAGCTGTGTTAATAATATCCCACTCTGATGGGCCCTCAATCATACGAGTGCACGCACACAAACACACACACACACACACACACACACACAGAGAGGCAGCTATTATAGTGCTGTTGCTAATATAGAGCAGCGTAATAAGAACAAAAAGCTCTTACTAGGATTACAGCTGTGTGTGTGTGTGTTTGTGTGTGTGTGTGTAGCCTCCACTCTACTGAAAACTCAAATTCTTCTGAACCAAACTGGGAAAACCATTTCTTAATGGATCTGGCTTTGTGCACATTGGCATTATCAAGCTGAAACGGAAAAATTGGCCCGAACTGTTGGCAAAAAATTTGGTGTCAGACTTGCCTAAAATAGCCCTGCCTGCTTTAGCATTGAGAGATCCCTCAGTTAAAGCTGAGGGGCCAAACTCAAACCAGGGAAAAATGTTCCAGATCAAAATTAAATATGTGATATGGGGTGTCCACATACATTTGGCCATATAACATTTGTCTCTCCCACTCTTATGTGTGTAGCGCTGTACACTCTGTACAAGCAGAGATTTTAGATTCCCCAAGAGGCATCTGCAATCAACATTTACGCTCCATATCTGTGTGTCTGTATGTGAGTGTGTGGTTGAGGAGGGGAGCCTCTGCCACTTCTAATTAAAATGAAACATAGAAGGAGGAGGAGGAGGAGGAGGAGGAGGAGGACGACGACGACAACGAAGAGAGAGAAAGAGAGAGAGAGAGAGGGATGCACACAAGGAAAAAGAAGGAAGTGGTTCTTGTCTAATTTTAAGGGAAGCATCATTATTATCAATCATTAGGATTCTGTCACGCTCTGTTTTGTCCATGATTGTCATTAGTGTCCTCATAACAATTTGTCTGTGTGTCAGTGTGTGCGTTTGTGTAATCTCAGCGATGCTCCTAACATATCTCAAACTATGGTACGTGTACCACCAGTGGTACATAAGCATATGATACGATCAAAATACAGCAACATTTGGACTGAAAGAAAGCAGGAGCAAGACAACAGAGCCCACTATTTAGGTGATATACAGTGTAAAAAGTTTGAGAAACACTGCATAGGAACAGCATTCATGGACTTAGTCAAAGGACAAGAATGACAAGTGGGAAAGTTTTTGTTGTCCCTCAGTCTCACTATATAATTTCCGTTAGCAGTGGGAATGTAAATCCCCATCACCCCATTAAATTACCCTAAGACCATAACGAGGATTAAACTGCACCGGCGTGAAAATATATTCCATCTACTGTGCATGACAGCTTTCTGAGCAATTAAAGAGCATTACAAATACAGACAGTGCCGGAGAGGTCATTTCAGAATATGTCTGAACCCCATATTTATATTCTGGACATGGTTGCATTCATCTACTTATGAGCCATTAAATCTCAACGTTTCTCGATGATCTCTTGTGTTTGTCCCCTGCATCTCCAAAGAATTTCAAATTACACAGTTTTCCCTAGGGGTATCACATCCCCAGCGGGCCACCTGCACAGATAATAACCAGAGGGTGCTCTCACAATTATGGCTATAATGGCGATATGATGGATACAAGCTGCAGCTGAGCATCATCAACAACGCTGAAGTATCCATAATTATAGGAAAGAGCCTCCTCAAGGCTGTTACAGCATTTATATGACAGTTACCAAGAGTACAGAGTAAAAAGGCTCCCTTTGGCTCCCTGGTTGTCCCAGCAGTTGTCATGGCAACCAATAAGATACAGTGGGCTCTGCTTTAGAGACCAATAAATTACAGCAATCTCTGTTTTCTGAAAAATGTCTCTGCCCAATCATATCTCTTAGATGAAACAATCTCTCGATGATGGCTTGCTTCTACAAACCCACTTTAGAACCTCAGCAAAAAGGGGGAGAGAGTCCGACTATAATACATCAGTAGTTATGGTTTTTAATGACATTTTAGTCTCACAACAAAATCAAAATGTTGTTGCAGAAGTTTCTCTACTCTGACAAGAATAATAGCTTAGTAGTAAAGCCCCAACAGAGAAAGAGAACGAGAACTAAATAAGGACCCCAAAACCTGTTTGACCGATTGCTACTGCAGAGTTGAGCTTCAATCTCATTCAGCTCTCAAGAAAGAAAAAAGAAACTGAGTCAGCAGCAGTCTGTATTCCTGCCAGGTTGGAAAACAGTGATACTGTGGACTACTGGGAGTACTTCAGCTAAAGCTGGAATATACACGACTAGAAACTTCCAGTTAAGTCTTCCAGTTACTCATCTGAGGGACTAATCAGTCACAAGCCAGACATATTGCTGAAGCTAAGGGCTCCCTAAGGACGAACGAGTGGATGTTGTGGACACAAATTAATTTCTATTTAATTATATAATAGAGTCATTTTATCTGTTGGTCTGTGTACTTCATTTAGCATGTCCAGCCTTTTACCCCACCCTACAATCTGCAACTCTAACAACACCAGAATCAACTCCCAAGTGCGGCATTAGCTGACCGTTAAACACTGATCTAATTATTGGTACCAGTCAAGCAAGCAAAACATGCACCTAATTACAAATAGGCTACACACGCTGTATTACACAGAGGTCAACTGCACAAGGGACTCAGAAAACTGAGCTCATTCCTGTTCACTGAACCTCTTTTCAATATGTTTGCCTTGGTGCATCACAGCCCCGGAAATGAACCCACACTTGGGTGGCTCTTAATTAACCAGGCTCCCCTCAACCATGATCTATTTTTAGGAGAACAGGAGAACACGGTAGCACCCATTTTTTTCCAGTGAGAGCTTCCTGTACACACTGGGGACAAAGGTGAAAAAGAAAAGTTGGTCAGGCCTTCCACAAAATGACTATGTTTACACACACACACACACACACACACACACACCTTTTAACGATCCACAACCCTACCTCAATAAGACCAATAGTTGCACTACTAGACTCTTTACATATGTATTGGCAGTTTCCTACACAATGTGTAATGTGTAATGTATGAAGCTTTTATAGATATGTACATTATATACATTACATTGTATGTATGTACTTTTAAAGTTATATACATTATTACACATTGCTTGTAGCTTATAGCTTTAGCTTTTTATCTGTTTCCTACCTCTCTGAGTGTTTCTTGGACTGCTGTAACATGAGAATCTCCCCTTTGGGGATCAATCAAGTCTTATCTTTGAGGGTTTTTTTTTTATTGGACCCAATGGTGACACTACAAAGAGTAACATCAGAGTGTTTGTGATCCTTAGAAAAATGTATTCTATAATGTGGATTACTGTGTATGAGAAAGCTCTAGTTTGTGTGCTAGTGCGAGTCTTCAAGGGTTTGGGCTCAACGCGAGGCTGGATGAGCAGTTCTTTATTTTCACTGTGTGCTTGTATGTATGTGTTAGAGGTTCGTGTTCACCCAAACGTCAATGCGGTCTTAATAATTCATAATTCACTGACAAAAAAAAAAAAAAAAAAAGTAGTAAAACATTTCTTTGTGTAAACTCCACCCAACTTCTAACCTTGGCCATGACAGTGAAGGCCTCAGCACAGCTTCTCTCACTCTTCATTTATCTAAATAAACTATTACATTTATAACATTCCTCAGATAAACTGTCACCGTCATCATGCTATCAAGGACAGTAAAAGAGTCTAACAGTGCTTTGTGTGTTGCTCTGCACTGCTATCATTCAGCATGAGTGCTAATTTATTCACAGACAAGTTTGTGTCTCCAGCTATTCATTTTAATGACCGACAGCCAAGAAAGCCTACCAATGTTTTCTGGAGAGCGCTCGGATTATTTGAAACAACCGAGCGCCAATAACAGGGTTTGTTTCCCTTTCCTGTTAGAAATAAAAAATAACACATTTAAGCACCAGTTTGATGGTTCCTGTAAAACTAATGACTTTCCTCAGGTGCAAAAAAAAAATGCCAGTGATGAGATTGTTACTGCGTTACTGTTTGTGTGGCTTTCTGCTTTGCTCTTACCTTGCGGCCGTCGCTTGCGTGGCAGTTGACGTTGAGCGGAGTGAGCAAGGCCATTAGCTTTTCCTCGTTTCCGCTCCTGTGAATGCACACACACACGCGCACACACATTACAGATAGGAAACATCCAACACCATAGAGGATTAGCATTGTTTTTCAGCAGGAGACTGTGGGGGAGAAAATGAGGGCGAATGAGATAAGAAGCTTGAGACTGAAGGGAAAAGACTGAGAAATTTAATCTGTAGGAACAGGCTGACATAAAGAAATGTTTGAGGGATGTGTGTGTGTGTGTG